CCATATGTTGTTTTTTATTGGAGTCATTTTGTGGCGGACCTCAATTGGAGAATAATTTGGACAATTCCAAACACATTTTGTAAAACTAATAAGGTAAAGGAAGTTTCATTTAAAATTATTCATAAATATTATCCTGCAAATTACTAGAGACATTTAAAAGAGACATTGATGCGAAATGTTTTTTGTGAAACCCCCAGAGACGGTTCAGAACATGTTTGGATCTGTTCAGAACATGTTTGGATCTGTTCAGAACATGTTTGGATCTGTTCAAAACATGTTTGGATCTGCTCAGAACATGTTTGGATCTGCTCAGAACATGTTTGGATCTGTTCAGAACATGTTTGGATCTGTTCAGAACATGTTTGGATCTGCTCAGAACATGTTTGGATCTGTTCAGAACATGTTTGGATCTGTTCAGAACATGTTTGGATCTGTTCAGAACATGTTTGGATCTGCTCAGAACATGTTTGGATCTGTTCAGAACATGTTTGGATCTGTTCAGAACATGTTTGGATCTGCTCAGAACATGTTTGGATCTGCTCAGAACATGTTTGGATCTGCTCAGAACATGTTTGGATCTGCTCAGAACATGTTTGGATCTGCTCAGAACAGGTTTGGATCTGTTCAGAACATGTTTGGATCTGTTCAGAACATGTTTGGATCTGCTCAGAACATGTTTGGTTCTGCTCTCACACCTCTTCATTCTGGAAGGACTTCAGTGGATTCATCGTTGACCATATTTATAAAGACTTTTCTTAAAAATGGGAAAATGTGATCTTTTGTTTTTTTGGAAGGCATAAAAAGGATGTTTTTTTCATTATAAATGTATTGATTATACAGACCAAATATTTCTTCTCATAAATGTAAATGTAGCAGCAGAAGCCTTTAGACATTTCTACAATGACTTTTTGTTGTAGATCAAATTGATAAGTGGCATAACTAACAAAAAAGCTGTAAGGACTATTGACATTTGTGCTGTGTACAATGTATTTGACTGTACATGATTATTTTTATTTATTTTTTTCGCTTTAACCCTCTGGCTATCTGTCGATCTGTATGTTGTATACCTGCACTTTTGAAGAAATAAATTCATGTTAAAAAAAAAAGTACTGCTGTGGATCCGCTCAAACTTTGTGGGTTTGTCTTGATTAAATTTGTGAGTGAGATAATATAAATGATATACATATATAACCAATAAACTGAGAAATTATTGGTTTAAACAACTGATAGGGTCACAATTTTCTTTTGTCTATTGGATTTATTTCATTCATTTGACTTCTAACTTCAATCTATAATCATTAATTATTAAGTGTGTGTGTGTGTGTGTGTTAGAGCAGTTACCAGTACATCATAATCTTGTCATTTACAATATATTCGTTATTACTACTGATGTTAATTATAATCAAACAGATGAAGAAAAGAGTAAATACGATCGAATTAAGACACGGAGGTCACTTTTAATGCAATTTGAGGCGAGATGTTGATGGTTCTATGTTGATATATGTGTGTTTTAAGAGTCAAATGTTCCTGTAAAGTTTGGTTGAAGCACTGGTTCAGTGTTCCTGTTTACTCACTATGCAGCAGGGTTGCCAGGTTTGGTGGTTCCCGCATATTTTTTTCCAAGAGACTTGTAGGTAATAAATAAACAGAAAGACAATAAACAGAATCATGATAGCCCAAGTTGATTATATTACGTTTTTAGCCAAAAAAATCATACTGAGTGTTTTTTTTTGGGGGGTATTCTCGTGGATTTCGGGTTGGAAAATCTTGCTGGGGTTTGGCAACCTATGGGAGCCGTGTGCTTCGATGTGAGTGGTTGAAAGCAGACTTCATTCAAGATAACGGACACGTGGTCTATCCAATCACATACAAGGATTTTTTTTACAAGGCCCTGCCTTCTGAAATCCAACCACTGTGGCTCAGTACCAGACTCGTGTGTGAAGTGCAGCGAACTACATGGGTCTGGAGAGAGTCAGGCTAAGACAGAGTGGGAATATGAAGTAAAAAGTCTAAACATCAATGGTTGATTGTGTTTTTAGTTCCTTTGCCTCTAATTATGGGTCTACCTGGAGGAAAGTGTGTGTTTGGTCTGTAAAGCTCAGCAGCTGCAGCACAGGGTTATGGTGCTTTCAGACCGGCAACGCTGAAACCCCGCTCATCAGACGCGCATTCTCTAGTTTTCAGACGCAGAGGAATTCACACCAGAATTCGTTCGTATTTTAGCAATTCATGGTCTGCCATCTTGGTATGCTTCGGCTGCCGTGAGACGCGCATGCGCAGGTTTGCATTGACCTGAGGCAGTGCATCTCTTCAAGGCAGTGTATCTCGGCGTTACACCTGCCGGCTACTTCCGGTACTTCTGGCTCGCGTCAGGACGTTCTGGTGTGAAGTCCTCTGCGTGTGCGTGTGCAGCGGAGATGAGAGAGGACAGAGAAAGGGCAAAAAGAGCAAGGTGTATGAAAAGTTTAGCGTATTAACATAACGCGAAAAACAGATTTATGATCAGGAAACAATTGTTTCAATTTAATACAGGAAAACAATTACACACATTTGCTAATAATCATTAACAAATTCTTATAACCAAGGACTACAGCATATATCAATACATGTTTAATAATGTGTAAAACGTACGTAAAAAATAGGATTGTTTCCATTTCGCCCGTCCACGTCCGTTGCACCCTCCGTGGACGGGCAGCTACGGACGTGTCGCGGGCAGTGGAGCCACTTCCATTCACCCTCATGGAGATAACAGATGAAACGGACGGACACGTTTTGGACGGATACGTAATACGTTTTACACAGCCGGTGGAGTGAGATCCTTTAGAGTCTGACTCTGGGTTCACAGGATGCAGCCTCAGCTCTGTCTCCTTCACTTTGGTCCAGATGCTTCAGACCTGCTTCAGACCTGCTTCTCTACAGGTTTTAATGTGTTTAGTAAGAGAAATCCTATGAGTAAAAGACTTTTCACACTTTTCACAGACAAATGGTTTCTCTCCAGTGTGGATCCTCTGATGCACTTTGAGATGACCACTCTGAGAAAAACTCTGACCACAATCGTCGCAGCTGAAGGGTTTCTCTCCAGTGTGGATCCTCTGATGCACTTTGAGATGACCACTCTGAGAAAAACTCTGACCACAATCGTCGCAGCTGAAGGGGTTCTCTCCAGTGTGGATCCTCTGATGCACTTTGAGATCACCACTCTGAGAAAAACTCTGACCACAATCGTCGCAGCTGAAGGGTTTCTCTCCAGTGTGGATGTTAGGAATTGCCGCGCTTAGACCCGGGCAAAGCACTGCACGATTGCCAGAAGGAGAAAGATGATTAGAGATGAACTCCCCCGGTTGTCTTGACCCTGGTGGTGGGGTAGTAGTTAGAAAAAGGATTGGCAGGAGATGGCCTAAGAACAGGGGAGATTGGGAGGAGGGGGTTGCAGGCATGAATGAAGCTGCTGCTTGGATGGAGCTTATGCGCGATATGAAGCTGATGCGGCTGTTGCCTGATTGCTTGCAGGTGAGGTATTTGCGTGAGGTTGCTGCGCAGCTGGAGTGTGATTGACTGATTGCTGTTGCTGTGGGGCATACTGCAGGAAAATGAACGCTCCTGTTTTGGAGCGCTCAGAGCTGAGAATTGCCGCTTAAGCTTCATTCAGAGACTCGAACAGGAAACATAGTTTTAGAATTGAAGTTGGTTGTAAGTTGGTCTGGACACTGCACTACCACATATGACAATAAAGACAATATTATCAAGATTTTTATTTATTGTGCTGAACCAGAATGTGGTTGGGATTTGACGTTTAGACCCCGGCAGGCACTGTACAATTCCAGAGGGGAAAGAGATTATGTGGATGGAAATCCCCATATGGAAGGTGCCGGCACCTTGGAAATTGCTTGCGGGGGAAAAAAAGGCGTGAATGAAAAGGAATGATTGCCAGTAGTATTTGATGTATGGCCGGCAGCAAAGGCCGAAAGGAATGACGTGAGGCTGCTGATGAAGAAAGCAATGATTTGTGCTGCGGAAGCGCACGTAAGCAGGATTACTACTGTTCATACAGGGAATAAACTGAATCGTTAGTGCCTAAATATCCTGGATCATCACTGCTGTCCTTTTTGTTAGACCACAGTCCTTCTGTTTCGGCAAGGAAAATACACAAAAACCCAGTGGGAAAAAATGAGAAACCTCGGGGTGACCACATTTTAAGAGAGGGATCCGCTTCACAATGACGGACGGGCTATATATAGATCAAGGGACTTATGGCATATATAGACATGTATGCAACACGTAGAAAAAATATGAACCCCACCAGGTACTGATTTGATTAAGCGGCCAAAGCAGTGCTGTGAGTTACTTTTTATCCCCCAAAGAAGAGGGGAGGGAAGAAGCGGTAGCTGTCTGCGTCTAATGACCGAGCCAGGCCAGATGGTCACGCTGATGGTCCCGCCGCGGCGCTGTAAAGAAGGCACGAAAGCCGTACTGTGAAGAAGAGGAGAGAATTAATGCGCCGCAGGTCGCAATCAGACCTCCGGCGTGGTCGGGGGCAAGCGCGGCGTGGCATTGGTCGTGCGGCAGGAGGCTGCCACCGGTTGTGGTCATTGTTGTAGCCACATTAATCAGCATCGAGCAGCAACCACCTGTCAAAGAGGGGCGTAGAAGAATGAAAACCACTCGGCGCGTCAAAGCGTGCGGCCTGGCCTGTCATAACTGTGGCCATCGACGCACCAGAAGCAGACAGCGCCAAAAATAACCAACCAAGGGCTGGGAGCCGCTGCCCCGGCTCGAGATCACTCTCACTTTAATCACTGTCAAACTATGTCCATCCAAGTACTTCCTTCACAGCAATCCATTTAAAACAGTTTTTAGCTTCGAAGGAAGTTCGCGGGGATAATATTCACCCCTCACACACATGATGCATGCAAGCGCCTCAAGCCAGTAAAGGGGAAACAAGCGGTGGCTCAAGCTGAGAGGAGGTAAACACTAGCCCGAATCCGGGAACTTACCAGCAGATGGTGGTGGTGGCGCAAAACCAGGGTCGGAACGAACACCTCAGGTCCCAGACTGCAAGCCAGATGCACTCCAGCCCCGGTCCAGACGCCTTTCTGAATGCACCGGTCGAAGAGGGGGCAGAGGCAATCGAGCTGAGACGCACCGGCGCGCATTGCAACTTGCAGCAAGAGTGGTGAAGCGAAAGGGCTGCTAGGGTCGGAAACAGCCACGGCTAGCCGAGGAAGCAGAGGAACGAAGCGGACCGTCGAAGCAAGTGAGTAGGACACAGCGGTGCAGCACGTCTCAGACCTTAGACTGGCTCACCTTGGCGCCTACCTGGAGATGGGGCGTAAGTCCAAAGATCCGCTGTTGCTAAGACCCCCGGGCCCGGGTCTCTCCGACATCCTGGAAAGGCTCAACACGCCTTTGGTGGACGTTCCAAGGGTCAATGAACTTGTTCAAGTAATGCGTGCCAACTGGGGTCCCCCCGGGCAAACCACCAGAGTTGGCTTAAATAGAGAAGCATGGAATCTGGTGATCAAGTTCAGGCGTAAAATTGGTCTGACCAGGCTTACGGGCCTAAGAAGGAGCCGGAATGCACTCCGTCTGCCAAGGAACGTCAGAGAGGCATATAGGTTGACCCAGGAATTGTGGAAGAGAGACCCCCACAAAGCTGCGCAGCTTATCCTTGATGGTGCCCCACCGAACTGCGTGCTCACTAGGGCTACCATCGAAGAGACATATAAGCGGATTTGGTGCGGGCGCGACAGATACAAGTCGCTGGCAGGATTCGGAAAACTCCCGGTGGCAAACAACAAAGAATTCCATCCAGCAGTAACTGGGTTGGAAGTGGTCCGTACCATAAAAGGAATGGCCAGGAGGAGTTGCCCGGGACCCGACGGGCTGCAGAGGTCCCAGCTTCTCCTCTGTGACAGGAAGGGGCTAAAGCTGGCAAAGCTATTCAATGACTGGTTGAGGGCGGGGATGATCCCCAAAGTCTTCAAAGCAAGCAAGACAACCCTGATCCCAAAATCTATTGACCCGGAACTCTGTGGCGTGATTGGGAACTGGCGGCCACTGACGATAAGCTCCACCGTTTTAAGGGTCTTCTCCAACATATTGGCCGCGAGACTCTCGAATGCTTGCCAGGTACACCCCCGCCAGAAAGGGTTCGTCAATGGCTCAGGATGCAGCGAGAACCTTACGGTCATTGACGGACTAATAACACTGGCGAAGAAGGAAAGAAGGGAACTGGCTGTTGTGTTTATAGACCTGGCAAAGGCGTTTGACACGGTCTCGCACCGGCTGATTGGTGAGACGCTGACTCGGAGGGGTGTTGACCAGCTGGTGGTAAAGGTAATCATGGATGGTTACAGGGGCTGCACATCCTCAATAAGAACATGCGAGGGACCCACCAAGGAGATCCCAATCAAGCTGGGAGTCAAGCAGGGAGACCCGCTATCCCCGCTCCTCTTCAACCTGGCGCTTGATCCACTGCTCTACGCCCTGGATGATGGTAGAGCAGGATTTGAGTTCGGTGAGGATGCTGCCATTGCGGCAATGGCATTCGCCGACGACCTTGTGCTGGTTAGTGGCAGCTGGGAGGGTATGCGGTCCAACCTGGCAGTGTTGGACGCCTTCTGCGACAGGGTGGGTCTGGCTGTAAACCCGGACAAATGTGTGGCGTTCCACATTGGACATCAAGGGCGAAAAGGGATCCTAAACGCATGTCCCACCTGGACCATTAACGGCCAGCCAGTCAGGTTGCTAAATGGGCAAGAGCAGGCAAAGTATCTTGGGGTTGAGATACACCCATGGAAGGGAGTCTGCTGTCCCCCCCTGTCTCCGAAGCTCGAGAGCGGCCTTGTCAAAATAGACAAGGCCGGGATCAAACCGCACCAGAGGCTGGTGGTGCTGAGATCCTACCTCCTTCCGAAGTTCCTCTATGCCTGTGACCACTCGGGACTTTCTAGGGGATCGCTCAGGGCCCTAGATGCCAAGGTCAAGGTTGCAGTTAAAGGTTGGCTGCACCTGGACCGATCTACAACAGACGGTCTACTGTATGCCAGGTTCAAGGATAGGGGTCTCTCGATCCCCAGACTCGAGAGACAAGTCCCGATCATGAAACTGAACAGACTACTCAGGATGATTCACTCAGAGCAGGGGTGCTCACACTTTTTCAGCATGCGAGCTACTTATAAAAGGATCAAGTCAAAATGATCTACCTACTACAAAAATGCTAATCATATATTTATTTCAAAAAATATTCTTTATACCTACAATGTATGTTTATGTACATGCAAAACCGCATGAGCCAATATAGCACAACACAACACAATTATCTATGTACATTTTTTGTCATTACCCGAGTTTACTCTGATGACTTGCACTGAATTGAATCGGCCAGGGATGCATAGTCCGGAAAATTGGTGGTAACTCGCTGACAAGTTTGTCGTGGTTTAGCTTTCCTGAACTGAGCGCGGTTGTTTGCGCATGTGCAGTCACCTAAGTGTCAGTAAAACATTACTGAGTAAAACACAGATGTGCAGTCACCTAAGTGTCAGTAAAACATTACTGAGTAAAACACAGATGTCATTTGACTGTGGTGCCATGTCCATGTGCCATGCCTGGTTTTTTTAAATACAAATATTTCCCCTCCTCCGTTTATAAAATAATTTGCATCCACACATCTGCGTTATCAATCACATTCGTAACATTCCAAACATGTGCGTCTCTTACGTCCTGTCCTGCGTTGGGGAAAAACACAGAAGTGGGCGGAGCTTTGATGCAGACGCCGGTAACGGCACTTTTACAGTCATAGAAGACACTCAGAGTAAAGACGTATGTTTACAAGCACTGACCCCGTCCTCAGCCCTGGTTTAGTCCTGGTTTAGTCCTGGTTTAGTCCGGGTTTAGTCCTGGTTTGGTTGTTTTCGAGCGTGAGTCCCCGCGATCACTTTGCTGCTCTCTGATGTGGAGGATGTTTGCTGCTGCGAGCATCTCACAGCGAACAGTTTTTAAGGTAGTATGATCCATGCTTCAGTGATCAGAGGAATTTAGGGGGGTACTGTGGCGTGCGAGAACGCAAAACTCCGGTTATCTCTGACTACACACAAATGCATTAACGGAGTTTTCAAAAATCTCCACTTTGCCCGGAGTTTTTTGTATATATTCGTTTAGAATGTGTAATTTTTTATTTATTTAATGCGATCTACCAATACTACCTTTGCGATCGACCGGTAGATCGCGATCGACGTATTGAGCACCCCTGACTCAGAGTGTCCAATTACCCATGAGATCTCCTCACTGCTTAACCTGGAAGCCAAGGTGAGGGAGCTATACCTTGAGCTCACAGGTATAGTCGCACCTGAAGACCTGGGCGATGTAGTGGCTCAAAAGCTGCGTTCCTCCAACATGAAAGTCCTGGAGCACAACAGATGGAAGCTCCTGAGGTCGCAGGGCAAAGGGGTTGAAGTGTTCGCCAATGACCAAGTCTCAAACTTTTGGTTGAGACAGCCCGTTGTCTCGGGGCTGACAGTCTCTGAGTTCCTGGTGGCTCTCAGACTGAGGTCCAACACGGTGATCATGAGGTACTCGGCGGTGGCCAGGGCACCCAACGCTGACTCGAGCTGCAGGTTCTGCCAATACCCTAAGGAGACCCTGCCCCACATTATAGGCAACTGCCCTGAATTCAAAGAGAACAGGATGTCCGCCCACAACAAGGTTTGTGGCAGACTGGGTGACCTGGCATCAGAAAAAGGCTGGAAGGTCCTAAGGGAAGAGCATGTCATTGTCTCTGGAAGGACGTGGGTCCCGGACCTTATTATAACAAAAGATGGAAAGGGCATGGTCCTGGATGTCACCATCTGCTTTGAGCAAAGCCTTGGCACCTTGAGGGAGAAAGCTGAAGCAAAGCAGCAAAAATACGAACACCTCAAGCCGGTACTGGAGAAAGGCCTTAAACTCTCCCATATGGCAGTGGAGGGCTTCCCCATGGGTGCGAGAGGGAAGTGGCACAAAGGCAACTACAGGATACTGGAGGAGATGGGCTTCTCGAAAACGGCTATGAAGCTGGAAGCGAGAAGGCTGTCGAAACTGGTCCTCGTCAACACAATAAAGACCGTCCGATTATACAAGGCCAGAATCAGACCTTAAGGCCTACCCACCAGCAAGGCCTTAAACTCTCCAGAAGGTGACAGTGGAGGGCTTCCCCTTGGGTGTGAGAGGGAAGTGGCCAAGGCAACTACATGAAGGAAGGAGATGGGCTTCTCGAAGACGGCCACGAGGCTCGAAGCGAGAAGGCTATTGAAACAGGAGGCCAGAATCAGAATCAGACCTCAGGGCCTGACCCCCGGCAGTTCCCCTTCTGGGAAAAAAAAAAAAAAAAAAAAGAAAAGGCGGTGGGGACGATAATGTAAGTCCAACCTTCCCCCACCGACCTTATTTCCCTCTCAGTGTGTGCAGTCCCAGGGTCACACGATCCTGCTGAAAGAGTTGGAAGTGGTTGTGGCAAACTTCCACGGGGTCACTATGTAAAGGAACTGATACCACGTGGTGACCCCACCCCTGGCCATGACGTAAAGTGAGACGCCATGCCAGGGAAGCACCTGTGGTAGGTCGAAGTTGAAGACAGACGCGGGTCTGCGCCATGACAGTCTAAATTGGGTGACCCCCCAAAATGGAAGGGGGGCTGTGCTGTTGAGTTGGAAGTGGCTAAGGCCAACTTCCACGGGGTCACTATGTAAATAGAATGTTGCCACGTGGTGACCCCACCCCTGGCCATGACGTAAAGTGAGACGCCATGCCAGGGAAGGACCTGTGGTAGGTCGAAGTTGATTGCAGATGCTGGTCTGATTCGCGTTGATTTTTAACGAATTTCTGGAGGCTCTCCCTGTATTCCCAGACACACACGCTTTTTGAGGAAAAAATGACAAAGTGTCTTGTGAGCTCAAGTCCCTTTTACGCAGGCCGTAACTTTTTTGTCTTTCTGTTCCCATGAGTGAAATGTAGCCCAGGTCCGGAGGAGTGGGTGGGTGAAAACCCCGTGTCTCTAGCCCCCCTGGTTCGCCTTCTACGGGCCCGGGAAACCGCCCCTTTCTTGACCGAGAATAGGCGCTCGTGAGCGGACGCGGCCGCGCTGTCCCCCGCTGATTTCAGACCGGTGTAACATTCCCGTCCCTTGTCCCCCGTGCATGAAACTCACAGGGGTGGTAGCCCAGGTCAAGACGAGTCTCTGGGCCTCTGCGTTGATTTTTAACGAATTTCTGGAGGCTCTCCCTGTATTCCCAGACACACACGCTTTTCGAGGAAAAAATGACAAAGTGTCTGAAATTCACAGAGGATGTAGCACAGGACCAGACGAGTCCGTGGGTCCAAACCCCGTGCCTCCAGGCCTTCTGGGTCTATTTTAATGATAATTCAAACTCCCCCTCTCTTGGCTGTTTCTGAGCAGGGGTTAAAGTGGAGATTTTCACCATATATGCTGAAATTATCCAGATTCATCTAACGCTGGTCTCAGCTCTCACTCCGCCTCTGGTCTCCCTCTGGTCCTCAAATTCACACCGGTTGTAGCCCAGGACGAGACGAGTCTGTGGGTTCAATACCCACGTCTCTGGGCCTTCTGCTTGATTTTTAATGATTTTTTTTTAACATTCTAGAGCTCCAGACGCTTTTTAGGGGGCTTTTATCACAGGGTCACCAGGTTTTTTGTCTTTAATCCCCCATGCATGAAATTCATAAATGTTGTAGCACGGGACCAGACGAGTCCCGTGCCTCTAGGCCTTCTGGTTCTATTTTAATGATAATTAAATCTCCCCCTCTCTTGGCTCTTTCTGAGCAGGGGTTTAAGTGGAGATTTTAGTAAAGTTACATTGATTGAACACAAAAATATTAAGTAAATTGATCACCGACGAGTTTAATATTGCTTTGAAAGGACACACAAATAATAAGTAAATAAATCACTTCAAAGTAATAGTTTTGCATAGTTTTTAGAGAGGGACCAGACAGAGAGCAAACTGACCAGAGAGAGCTAACTCATTGTTTTAGTATTAAAGATTGCATTTATTTACAAGCCATACAATGCTGTAGAGTTCAGGAGTTTAAGTGTATTTTCCCTGGGCCCAGCTCTGCAGCGTCCTGCTGTGAAACAATAGGTCAGAACAATAGAAGTCACACCTTGGAATGCTGATGGGGGAAGGGGTCTGCAAAGTGGCCTCTTAGGTTGAGTTTACACGGAGACAATGTGGCAGTAAAACGGTATAGTTGGATGTCGGTTGCTACCAACCGTTCATACGAAGACTGTGTTCCAGGGGGGTGAAAACGTAAGTGTTCAGATCCAGCCTGCAGAGTGGGAAAACTCAGAAACGCTGCACAGCGGGGGCTCTTTCACACCCGCGAGAGGGAAAAAGGTGTGAAACCCCCCTCTGCTCTGACCCCCGCCTCCGCGCTGCTCCCCGCACGTAAATTTGGACATGCGCAGTAGCGGAGAACAAACAAAAACAAAGATGGCGCCGCGCGCACTAACTAGCTTCGTGGGCTTCGAGCACAGCACAGAGGATAATTCTACTCCTTCGTTCTTCCAAACGAGACCACGCGAAGCTCTAGGTTCAGTTCCCATTGTCACAGCTGCTGTTAAAATGCAGAATGATGTTGGTACTTTCTGAGAGTCTGGCACAAGAAGTGAGTACACTGCCGAGGGGGGGGCTGGGCACGGGGCTGGGGGTCGTGTGAGTGTTGTAAAGTTTCTCTGCCCACTACTGGCCGGGCGCTAGAACTACATCGTTTTTCAACCTCATGTGAACGCTGAGAAATTTGCATTAGGAGCCAGGTCGTTTCTGTTAATAGCCTGGAAACGTCTGCGCAGCGTCTCAGTATAAACAGGGCCTAAGACTGAGAGATGTTATAAATCTCAACTGTTATGACCGGTCTATCTCAGGATTAGATTTATTATCTGCAGCTCAGATTATAAACAAATAATATTATTGGAAATAAACATTTCCTCTGTCTCTGTAAATAAACTGCCACAAGTGTTTGAGGCCTGACTCAGTGACATGAGATTCATTTATGGACTAGACTTACTGCTATTATATAACATTTGTTAGACCAGAGACCAGACTGAGACCTGAGAGAGACTAGACTGACCAGAGAGACCAGACAGAGCTGACTCATAGTGACCCTGTGTTTTAGTATTAAAGATTGTACAATAAATGCTGAGTTCAGGAGTATAAGTGAAATAGTCATTTCTTATCTCTAAATAAACAGACCAGGGAGAGACCATAATCACACATGGTTCTGTCATGAGTTGAAGTGAAGGAGGATCCAGATAAAATGTTTAAACAAAAATAATGATTCATTTCAGAATATGAAAGTCCAGGATTAAAACATGTTTACAATCCAAACAAAATCAGGTCCATTGTCTTTGTGTGAGTAGTTTCTCAGCGATGATTCAGATTGTAGAAGTTGTAGATGTGGATAAAAGAGAAGAGAAAACACATTAGTCTTCATATAACTTCAAACAATTTATATACATATATACACTTTATTTACCTTGCGGCCCGTCTTGTCTTGATTTCTGCTTTCTAGACAGAGGCTTAATGGCTATGCATTGTTGAGCCAGTTGAGCTGTTCACCCTCTCCACCAAACGACTTCTTACTTACTCCATAATCGAATTTCACTTCCTCATCCACCTCCAAAGCTCTGGTGGCAATGAAAAGGACATGATCCTTTTCCTTTCCATCTATTTTATAGGTGCAGTGCCTGGGCTTTATGTTGGCCCTCTTTTTGGAGTGGTTTATGAGTCTGCCCAGAGTCTGCATGCCTGGGTGGCAAATGCAGTGTTCTGAGTGGGCGTCAATGCAAAATCTTTCTCCCTTTGCGTTTTGGAAAAAGAACATGTATCCCGTCTCGCTTTCACTGGTGGTCTGGTGAATTCTCTTTCCCTCTTTGGCTCTGACGACAGTCCCGTGGTAGTCACACACCACCTCCCCAGCTTGGAATCTGCGTGTTGTGACTACGCCACGGCCTTTCCCTTCAAACTCCTTCACATGAAGTCCTCTCCACTTCTGGGTCTGACAAAGATCCTGGATCTGCTTGCTGTCCTGAAGTCGTTCCTCAGATCCAGATGGTGCCCAGTTTTGGAGAACTTCCTCAACGATGTCGTCCATTCCCTTCCAACCTTGTCTTTTCACCCATGCATTGAGACGGTCCTTCGATGGCAGACGCCGACTGAAATGAGCTGTCAAAATAAAAAAGTAAATACAGTCTTTTAGTTATGGATACAATAATTACAAAACGATATAGCGCTAAATATAGACTATTCCATTATTTTTAAGGTTAAATAAATTGTAATATGGTGGACAATACTCACCACGGGTGTGTTCTACACGCAGCTTTAACTGCTGTTTCTTCCAGCGAATGGCCAGTCTTTTATGAAAGTCTTTGGATACATTTTTGCGGGATCTCGGTGACGGCCCAGCACCACTTAGTGTAATGGGGTGTTTGTCAATGAGTTCTCTCAAAGCCTCTTGGAGTTTGACCTTGTCGTTGTCCAGTTGGATCCTTGGCAGACAAATCACTGCCTCCTTGACAGGTGTGACAGGTGCTTCAGGTGTGACAGCGTCAGCATGTGCACGACTAGGACCCTCCTCAGGATCCTCGAGGCCGGCATCTTGCCCTGAAGGTACAGCACTACATGGAACAAAAAAAAAACAGAATACAATTGGACATTGTACATGTATAAATATGTAATTAAATGTAATGTAAACCAGAGAGCGAGAGAGAGAGAGACCAAAGAGAGACAGACCAGAGAGAGAGAGTGAGAGCAAGACAGAACAGAGACGAGAGCGAGTGAGACCACGAGAGAAACAGCACTACATTGGACAAAAAAAATCAGAATACGAGTACATGTCTAAATATGTAATGAATTGTAAACTATGCTCACCGTGATTGTCCCTGATCCTGACGTTTCCCCAAAATCCGAGAGGCTTTTACAATGTCCTCAACCCTCTCCATCCTATAATGCTTCTCCGCTGTTGCATCAGAATGAGTCAAATAACTGGCCAACAATGACTTCTCACTTTCTGTCATGCTCTTAGCTGCCGTCTCACAGGCTCGACGTGCCATCTGACTGCTCACATTTGGGAGGTTGTATCTGAAATGCAGGTTCATACAGTGTTAGAAATGTATCACATTGACCTGAGACTGCAATGAACCACACATGAGAACGACTTTATGAGAGGGGAAACTTACTTTGCGTGCAGACGAGTCAGATCGTTTGTTGGATTATTAATCATCTTTCCTGTTGAGGAAACAAAAAACTTGTCGTCTGCTTCAACATCATCCCTTTTGCGTTTCCTGCTCGCCATGAGGAGCTGTGGCCGCACCAGTTTGTAGTAGAAATCAAACCACTGTTGGCAGAGGAGAAAGGGGAATTAAGATGTTTTTTCTGCTATTGAACACAGAGCAGAGTAATGCACAGATGGACGTGTGTTTGATTTAAACTCACATGAACCTCCTCCTGGCTCAGGCCGATTGAGGCCACCTGTGTAGCTGCAGTTTTGTGCTCCTTTATCCCAATGACAAAAAATCCATCCAGTTCCCTCTTGGAGAGCCACTCAACGACAGTCATGTGGCTCACCACGCCTGGTCGTTGGAGGTGTTTCAAAATGATCACACCCTCCAGGTAATAAACTACAAAAACGCATTCTGGCGACTGCAGAATAGCAGAAGAGTTCTTAGCCAGCTTGTTCATGATGGCTAAAAAGTCAGCTTTTGCCACCCTAAGAACAGCAGTGCAGTCCTGGGGTTGCAGCATGCGGTCCCCACTAGTCAACAAGCTGTGCCTATGACAAAAGACATTAACTGTATTAACAAATCATATTTCAGAGAAAGTATTCTGTAGTGCGATCATTTACAACTTACCTCTTCTGAACCAGCTCTTTGCTCACCCCCTTAGACATGGCTTTTTTCTCAGATTTAAGGAAATCAATGAAGTTCACACACTGTTCATACAGAACAGCATTTTCCTTTGCCAAATCTGAATAATGTGTGTGGAAATCCAGAAAAAGTTTCAGGCTTTTGAGGTAATTCAGCCGAGACTGAGCTTTCAATTGTGCCCCAGTAAGACGCCGTATAAACAATCTGAGCAATTCTCGGTTGTTGACAAACTGCAAGGAAGCTTCCTCAGGGTTTGCATAAAACAAGAACCTGGACACATTCCTGACATCTTGGATGAAGTTTTCAATTTTTTTTGTCTCCTTGAGAAATGTGGCAAAGTCTTTTAACAGAGGGTGATCCATTGGATGTATGCCATAAAGGCCCATTGCAGCCATGTTCTTCTTGGCCGCAGTGGAATAATTCACTTCAGGGACATTTTGATAGTACTCGCCACTGCTCTCAGAGGCAACGTCAGCCGGGCCTCCAGTCTCATCCTGGTCCCTGGACTCTGTCTGTGCAGCCTCACCGATGGTGTTGTGCTCAGGAAGGGGGGCTCCGTGAACAATCAATGTACTCCTCTCCAGTTCAACCATCATCCTTGGAAACCGGACATTTGTAAAAAGTTAAATTAGCTACAGCATGAACAAGATACAATCAAGTCAAAAATAGTTATACTATTGTAATTAATAGCGTCTAATATGGATTTAATATTCAAAACAAGCAAAATGTGAAAACAAACCTTTTAAGTGATTCTTCGTCTTTTGCCCAGGACGTCACTTGTTCATAGGGGAACAACCTGCCATTCTTTACAAGTTCCCTATTCTGTGACTTTGCCTTCTCGACGGCAGCAGCTATTTCTCCCTCAGAGGCCGTCTTCATGCAGACTCTACGCAAGTGGGTTGACAGACAATCATGTGTATAACGGCAAACTGGACAGAGAAGGGCACTTCTTTCTGGAGCCATTTTGGCGAATTTGGCTTAAAAAAAACAGCAGCTGGTCCCCTGATGTCTCTGCTGGTCCTCTAATGGCTGTGAGGGCTTCTGTGGTTCACCTGAAAGCAGACAGTCACTGTATTTTAATTTACACCATTCTAATAAATATAATAATAAAAAATAAAAAAAATAAAATAATAATAATAAATATAGCGCTTTTCTGGACACTCAAATACACTTCACATGTGTCATTATTCTTTCACTCCATACACTGGTGATAAACGACTACTGTAGCCACAGCTGCCCTGCGCACAGAGCTACTGTTGAGTTCAGATTATGAGATACAATACGTAGGGAGGGACTAAAGGAAGAGACTTGAGAACAGAGCAAAATGGACTTTGGGGTAGCAACGGTGTCCACTAGTGATGTGCTGAGCGGACCGAGTCTTCGAAGCGTGGACCGAGTAATCTGGGGGCGTTTCTTGTGAAGTGTGGGTCGAGGCGTGTATTGGTCACGTGTGTGGTGACGTTCGAAGCCTCGCGTAGCGGCCGCACCACGTGACGGTTCATATAGTGCTTCATATAGTTCGGAGAGTGCATTGCTTTGACAGGTGCTTTGTGATCCGCGGCTGTACCATAGACTGTATTGGCTGTCCCCGTCTGCCTCTGTGTGCGTACGTGTGTGTGCGTGATATGGAGCAGTCCTGTACTAAGTATAGAGAAACTACTTCATATGAAATACAATTAAAAACTTTTCACTTTAGTAAAACCTCATATATCAAGGCTTCAAGTTATTAGTAATAATACGCTGGATAATACATTTCATAACAGCTCTGTGGCGCAGTCGGTATATGACGGACTCCGAAGCAGAAGATATAGCGTTCGAATCCTGGTCTACCCATAATAAAGTTTGTGTTGCAAAGTAAATGTATTTATTTATTGGGAATAAATGGTTTGTTGTGTTTAATTAATCCACCTCTTGGTAGTTTTTCCTCCATTAATCACTTTCTGTAGAACTGTATTACTTTGGATGTGTTTGTTGTATCAACACAATTGACTGAAAGACTCAAATAGTTCATAGTTCATGAAGCATCATTTCAAACACAACACGTTAGACCATAGATTGTAAATATACATTTTAACATTAGATCTCACCATTCATTGTAATCACTTAAGAGTGTTATGTATTTCTTTGTCCACATGATGGCGTAGTGGAGCATGATTCACCTCGAGCCTTCGACTCATGGGCCGGGTAATAGGCTGCGATCCCTCAAGGCTTCATGGGGCTTCATATTGCCATCACTAGTGTCCACCATCCTTTCACTATAATTGGCTAAATACAAATCAGCAACAAAACATTGTCTTGTTTACCTAAGCAGTCGATCGATGGTGAGCGATCCTAGCAGTCGAACGACGGTCAGCAGCAACAGCGAAGTTCCACAGCAGTCGGGGGTAAGTGCCTGTCACTGGGGGCTCTTCCTTCTCACTATTACAGTCTGCTGCTGTCGGATATGGTTTGTTTTTGGTAGAGCTTCCTTGTATATGCAAATTAAACTTAAACTCTTAAAAAGATTTAAAAAACGGCTATAACTTTTCCGCCTCTTAGTCCAGGGGGCTGAAAGGGACGGTAGACCAGGTCGAGACGAGTCCGTGGACACCTCAAGCGTGTCGGTCCGACACAGGGGGCCGATTCTAGAGCGGTTTGAAAATTCAGCCCGGGACTCCCGGGCTGACGAAAAACTTTTATTTTCTGCTTTGCCCCTGACCACTACAAAAGACATGGAAAAGAATACTTATTCTCATAATATGCCTATCATTCATAAGATATAATGTAATGCACCATGAGGGAGATGTGGTGCTAGGACATACGCTTCATGAACAACACAGACAACAGTGGCGGAGTGGTAAACACTCTCGCTTCTTGGGTTCAAATACCGGTCGGACCAGGGCCTTTCCCCAACCCAAGTGTCCTTGGTCTGCAATATGTGCAATATAAATAAACATTATAATGATTTAATGTGGGGGCTAATTTAAACTCGGAACAAAAGTTTTTGTAGGGGATAGTAATCTGAAATTAAAATTATGTTTTTAAGTTGGGCACTTACATATTATATACCTGCCAGTGGCGCACCTGGTTTATAACTGCCCTTCATGTGGAAGATTCCTGGTTCAAATCCAGGCCTTTCATTTATATTTTGTATAGATTATATACAAATTTAATATATCCATCCATCCATTGCATTTTACATTTACACTTAGTTAAATACTTAGTGAAATCCACACGTTATCATTTCTCTTTGGTATTGTACAGCAGTCAGGAGTGCTGGTGGCTCTTCCCTACACTCTAAAAAAAAATGCATTGGCAAAACTTAATACAATTGAGGCAACATTTTGCATGCATCTTTTTAAGTTTTGCGAACAAGACTGTGTTTTAAGTATTCTTTGTAAGTCTTTTATCATTGGTCCAGCACAATTTTTCCAATACCACCAACTTGGATAATTGAGTTATAAAGACACTTTAAGTATATTCAGCAAGTGTTTTAGCATCAGTTCAACTCAATTTTAACAATACCACCAAGTTAAATAATTACATTGGAAATAAATCTTTTTGAGTATATTCAACGAGTGATTTTTAGTCAGGAATATGTAATCTTTATTCAAAAACCATCTTTCACAGATCAGATTCACAAAGCGGTTTAAAATAGTTAATTTCAGGCAATAGTCTCTCACTCCACATGTATATGGGAGTGGACCAGCACAGTCACCTGTAAACATTACCACTTTAAAGTAACTGTTCAATGTTGGACGACGACACAGGTATAGGGCTGCTTTGGTTTGGCCCTCTCGATCATGGTTGATAATAATAAATACAATTACTTATTTGGTCAAATTAGTTTATTCAGAATGTTGCTAAAGTATTTTGCTTTAGGACTTGCTTCATATTCAGTTTTAAAATGAATGCTCAAATGTAGAATTTTTAAGAAGTTCATATTTTTTGCTGCAATGCATTCTGGGTAGCGCCACTGCTTCGCCACATTTTGTTTTCAATCAACTCAATATCTTTGTTTTGAATCAACACAATATATTTATTTTGTCATTAATGGACCCCCAGGCTTACAAGAGGATTTTCATGTTGAGCAAACTCAATACTTCTCCGTTGTCCAGTTATGCCAGAATATCAAGTTCAAATTTGTTACAAAAATGAGTTAGGATTCTTGTATTAACTTTTAATTGACACCGACATGTTTAAAATTAGTTGCGACCACACTAATTTAAGTAAAACTGGCAAAAATCAATTATTGAGTTTAATTCAGTATGTAATTTGAGTTCAAAATACTAACCACCTGAATCATTTCTTTGAGTGTAGGACTATTCCTGTCTGCACCTGTTGGATATGGTTTGGTCTGGGAGGGCTTCAGTGAATATGCAAATTAAACTTGAGTCAGATGATACTTCTTGGACGTTTCTCTAGGCTTTTATTTTCTGCTTTGCCCCTGACCACTACAAAAGACATGGAAAAGAATACTTATTCTCATAATATGCCTATCATTCATAAGATATAATGTATAATGTAATGCACCATGAGGGAGATGTGGTGCTCCCAGGACATACGCTTCATGAACAACACAGACAACAGTGGCTGAGTGGTAAACACTCTCGCTTCTTGGGTTCAAATCCCGGTCGGACCAGGGCCTTTCCCCAACCCAAGTGTGCTTGGTCTGCAAGATGTGCTATATAAATCAACATAATAATGGTTTAATGTGGGGGATAATTTAAACTCAAAACAAAAGTTTTTGTAGGGGATAGTAATCTGAAATTAAAAGTATGTTTTCAAGTTGGGCACTTACATATTATATACCTGCCAGTGACACAAGTTTAATTTGCATATTCAATGAAGTGCTCACCCTAACCCAACCCTAATCAACAGGAGCAGCCCAGAAGATGGAGATGGAAGAGACACCTAATAGCTGGGATTGCGCCTGACCATCGCATCTACCGCTGATCACCATCAAATCTGCTGATAACCATCAGTCCCCCCCGCCGAAGCTGACGACCATCAGGACCGCCGCCTAGTGATGGCAATATGAAGCCCCATGAAGCCTTGAGGGTTTGCAGCCTATTACTCGGCCCATGAGTCGAAGGCTCGAGGTGAATCATGCTCCACTACGCCATCATGTGGACAAAGAAATACATAACACTCTTAAGTGCTTACAATGAATGGTGAGATCTAATGTTAAAATGTATATTTACAATCTATGGTCTAACGTGTTGTGTTTGAAATGATGCTTCATGAACTATGAACTATTTGAGTCTTTCAGTCAATTGTGTTGATACAACAAACACATCCAAAGTAATACAGTTCTACAGAAAGTGATTAATGGAGGAAAAACTACCAAGAGGTGGATTAATTAAACACAACAAACCATTTATTCCCAATAAATAAATACATTTACTTTGCAACACAAAATTTATTATGGGTAGACCAGGATTCGAACGCTATATCTTCTGCTTCGGAGTCCGTCATATACCGACTGCGCCACACAGCTGTTGTGAAATGTATTATCCAGCGTATTATTACTAAGCCTTGATATATGAGGTTTTACTAAAGTGAAACGTTTTTAATTGTATTTAATATGAAGTAGTTTCTCTATACTTAGTACAGGACTGCTCCACATCACGCACACACACGTACGCACACACACACACACACGTACGCACACACACGTACGCACACACACACACGTACGCACACAGAGGCAGACGGGGACAGCCAATACAGTCTATGGTACAGCCGCGGATCACAAAGCACCTGTCAAAGCAATGCACTCTCCGAACTATATGAAGCACTATATGAACCGTCACGTGGTGCGGCCGCTACGCGAGGCTTCGAACGTCACCACATGTCACCAACACACGCCTCGAACCACGCTTCAAAAAATACGCCCC